CCCACCACCACTCACCATGTCAAGAGCCGTGCAGTTGCCCAACATGTTCTCGAGCTTCTCCACAGCCACATACTCCCCTTGAGCCAGCTTGGAGGACTGATATACTGTACGGATAATACCATCTCCACACCACCACTCACCATGTCAAGAGCCGTGCAGTTGCCAAACATGTTCTCGGGCTTCTCCACAGCCACATACTCCCCTTGAGCCAGCTTGGAGGACTGATATACTGTACGGATAATACCATCTCCACACCACCACTCACCATGTCAAGAGCCGTGCAGTTGCCAAACATGTTCTCGAGCTTCTCCACAGCCACATACTCCCCTTGAGCCAGCTTGGAGGACTGATATACTGTACGGATAATACCATCTCCACACCACCACTCACCATGTCAAGAGCCGTTGCAGTGCAGTTGCCAAACATGTTCTCGAGCTTCTCCACAGCCACATACTCCCCTTGAGCCAGCTTGGAGGACAGATATACTGTACGGATAATACCATCTCCACACCACCACTCACCATGTCAAGAGCCGTGCAGTGCAGTTGCCAAACATGTTCTCGAGCTTCTCCACAGCCACATACTCCCCTTGAGCCAGCTTGGAGGACTGATATACTGTACGGATAATACCATCTCCACACCACCACTCACCATGTCAAGAGCCGTGCAGTTGCCAAACATGTTCTCGAGCTTCTCCACAGCCACATACTCCCCTTGAGCCAGCTTGGAGGACTGATATACTGTACGGATAATACCATCTCCACACCACCACTCACCATGTCAAGAGCCGTGCAGTTGCCAAACATGTTCTCGAGCTTCTCCACAGCCACATACTCCCCTTGAGCCAGCTTGGAGGACTGATATACTGTACGGATAATACCATCTCCACACCACCACTCACCATGTCAAGAGCCGTGCAGTTGCCAAACATGTTCTCGAGCTTCTCCACAGCCACATACTCCCCTTGAGCCAGCTTGGAGGACTGATATACTGTACGGATAATACCATCTCCACACCACCACTCACCATGTCAAGAGCCGTGCAGTTGCCAAACATGTTCTCGAGCTTCTCCACAGCCACATACTCCCCTTGAGTCAGCTTGGAGGACTGATATACTGTACGGATAATACCATCTCCACACCACCACTCACCATGTCAAGAGCCGTGCAGTTGCCAAACATGTCAAAAACCAGCCAAACACGTTCTCGAGATTCTCCACAGCCACATACTCCCCTTGCGCCAGTTTGAAAATATTCTTCTTCCTGTCGATGATCTTCATCGACCCATCTGCCACTCGCCACTCCATCTGCCACACTGGCACGGATGGTACTACCGCCACACACCCCAAATAGAAACACCGCCTCACCATATCCAAAGCCGTGCAGTTGCCAAACACGTTCTCGAGGTTCTCCACAGCCACATACTCCCCTTGAGCCAACTTAAAAATGTTCTTCTTTTGATCGATGATCTTCATCGACCCGTCCGCCTGCCACTCGCCACCTTGGTACTCGCACGGATCTAGGTACTAGCGCCACACACCCCATCTTCCTACCGGCACAAATGTTCAAAACTTTCAGGCCAACTCACCATATCCAAAGCCGTGCAGTTGCCAAACACGTTCTCGAGGTTCTCCACAGCCACATACTCCCCTTGAGCCAACTTAAAAATGTTCTTCTTTTGATCGATGATCTTCATCGACCCGTCCGCCTGCCACTCGCCACCTTGGTACTCGCACGGATGGTACTAGCGCCACACACCCCATCTTCCTACCGGCACAAATGTTCAAAACTTTCAGGCCAACTCACCATATCCAAAGCCGTGCAGTTGCCAAACACGTTCTCGAGGTTCTCCACAGCCACATACTCGCCCTGCGCGAGTTTAAAGATGTTCTTCTTCCGATCAATGATTTTCATTGATCCATCCGCCTGCCACTCGCCAATATCACCCGTGTGGAACCACCCCTCCGCATCCACCGCCTCTTTCGTCAGATCCTCCCGCTTGTAATACCCCGAGAAGAGAATCGGCCCGCGAATGCACACCTCCCCACGGGGGGGGTGCACCTGCGCCTCTCCTGATTCGCCTTCCTGCTTGGTGCTGCCGATAGCATCGTAGTTCATTTCCGGGATGGATTCGAGGCGGGTTTCGAGCGTGGGCATGGGCGGGCCCACCGTGCCGGCCTGCTCTATGCGATCCGCATACGAGATGAAGCCGCTCGTGTTGGTCTCGGTTAGACCTGGGGGTGTTAAAGAGAAGCGGCGGCAGAGGAAAGGGTTGTGAGGGGCATAGGAGTGAGATGGCTGCGCATGGGCGGCCCAACAGTGGTGGCCTGCTCGATGCGATCCGCGTACGAGATGAAGCCGCTCGTGTTGGTCTCCGTGAGGCCTGGGGGAAGGGGAGGGAGGGTGTGTGGGGGAGGGGTGGGGGGAAGGAAATTGCACGTGGCAGCACATGGCAATCTTTCAAGCACACCTCCATCCTTGTGAGGCGCGGGACGGGCAAGGAGGAGAAGGGCACGGAGGAGAAGGGGCGACACCAACCAGGACAGTCACCGGGCAGCACCGCTTCCCACCACTCTAGTCACTCCATCCAACCCAAGACCCCCTTTTTTTCGCATAGGATCACACTCACCATAACCCTGCACATGTGGCGGACTCACCGTACCCCTCAATCGCACTGTACCCGCTCTCAAACTCACCATACCCTGCACCACGGGGGCAGCACATGGCGATCTTCAAAAACTCCTCCACGTGAGGGGCGAGAGGGCGGCACCGGAGCAGATAATCCGCACGTTGCCGCCCAGCCGCGCCTTGATCTGTGGCAGGAGTGAGGTGGAGGAAAGACGTGGGTGGGGATTAAATATGGGCATGGCGTGTCGGATCTTCACCCCTGCTGCTCTGCTGCCAGCTGGTGCGTTCAAGGCACCTCTAGAGACTCACACCGCTCACCTCTCCTCACCCACCCACAGCCACACAAACTCACCCTGTTAAATACAAAGAAGTCAAGAATGGGCATGGCATGTCGTATCTTCACCCCTGCTGCTCTGCTGCCAGCTGTGTGCGTTCAAGGCACCTCTAGAGACTCACAACGCTCACCTCTCCCTACCCACCCACAGCCACACAAACTCACCCTGTTAAATACAAACAAGTCAAGAATGGGCATGGCGTGTCGGATCTTCACCCCTGCCGCTGCCACCCGGTGCGTGTTCATTGATCAAGGCACCTCTTCCGAACGCAACATGCTGACCTCTCCTCTCGCACCCAACCCACAGCCACCCAGCTCACCTTGCTGAAGACGAGGAAGTCAAAATGGAGTGGCATCTCGGATCTTCACTCCTGCTGCCACCCACCCACCCAGCCCACCCACCCACCTACCCACCCACCTACCCACAGCCACCCACCCACCCACCCACCCACCTACCCCAGCCACCCACTCACCTTGCTGAAGACGAGAAGTCAAAGATTGGCGTGGCGTCTCGAATCTTCACCCCTGCTGCCAGCCGCGCTTGCTTGCTGCTGTAGGCATAGTCGAACAGCAATCTTGGTGAGCCCGCCCGTGGACTCAATCTTAGAGATGACGGCTGGGATGGTGAGGGGAAATAGAGTGGGCAGAGGGAATAGAGGGGGCAAATGAGTTAGCCTGGCTTGCTTGCTGCTGTAGGCATAGTCGAACAGCATCTTGGTGAGCCCGCCCGTGGACTCAATCTTAGAGATGACGGCTGAGATGAGGGAAGGGAATAGAGAGGCACAGGGAATGGGGAAATGAGGTAGGTGCATGGGATCCTCGCTTGGTACGGACTTTTGAGAATTCTCAGAAGTCATACCGAAGGGTAGTCCCTGGCTTGCTTGTGGGAAATGCGACGGCAGGGGCGTTTGCGGATAAGCACAGCACACTGAGTCATCAGGCCCCTACCCGAGTGGATGCGGGTCAAAGATATCGCGGCACTCCGCAGAAAGAAGTGCGACGCTGACTGCCTTGCTTGCTTGCTTGCTCGTGGCACACAGAGGGGTAGGGATGCAAGGTGCATGTCCCAAGGGCCCTACCCGAGTGGATGCGGTCAAAGATGCGCGGCACTCCGCAGAAGAAGGTGGCTTGAGGGCCGTCCAAGTCGTTTGTGAGGTTCCTCACGTCCTGATGGGGTTGGAAAGAAGGGTGTGGAAGTGCGGGGGAGCGAAGGGGAAAGGACAGGGGAGGGAGTGCAGGGTGTGTGAGGAGAGTTGGGCTTAAGGGCCTGGAGGTTGGCTGTGGGCAGCTTCACGTCTTGATGGGGTGCGGGAGAAGGGGGGGGGAAGGGCGGAGTTCAAGGGGGCAATGGAGGGGTAGGGGAAGGAAGGGAAGGGGACGGTGTGTGAGGCGAGGTGGGCTTGAGGGCCTCCAGGTCGTCTGTGAGCCGCCTCACGTCCTGGTGGGATAAGGGGGAGTGGCGGGCATACAAGTGCAGTGGAGGGGAGGAGAGAAGGGAAGCGAAAAGGAAGAGGGCGAGTGTGTGCGGCGGGGCTGGCTTGAGCGCCATGAGCTCCTCTGCCACGAATATGTTGTGCCATAGACCCTACCACATCTCACCCCCCACCAGACCTCACCACCGCGTCTCACCCCCCACCACCGCATCCCACCGCATCTCACCCCTCACCACCGCGTCGCACCCCTTGCCAGAAGCCAATGGAGCCGCCCAGGTGCGTCATAAGCTCCTTCGCGATGCGGTAATTGATATGCGCCAGGGGCAGATAGGAGACGTTGCTGTGCACATCCGCGTCCCACCTCTCAACACTGTGTCAAACCCATCACCATCACATCTACCCCCCCACCTCCGCATTCCATCCCTCACCACCCGCATTCCACCGGCAACCCATCCATCACCACCGCATCTCACTCACCCCTTGCCAGAAGCCAATGGAGCCCCCCACATGGGTCATGAGCTCCTCGGCCACGCGGTCAAAGATGTGTGCCAGGGGCAGGTAGGAAATGTAGATATCCGCTTCGGTGAGCTGTGAGGGTGGGAGGGGTGTGGGGGATACAGAGGACATCAAAGGGAGACGTCATGAGCTCCTCGGCCACGCGGTCAAAAGATGTGTGCCAGGGGCAGGTAGGAAATGTAGATATCCGCTTCGGTGAGCTGTGAGGGTGGGAGGGGTGTGGGGGATACAGAGGGACATCAAAGGGAGACGTCATGAGCTCCTCGGCCACGCGGTCAAAGATGTGTGCCAGGGGCAGGTAGGAAATGTAGATATCCGCTTCGGTGAGCTGTGAGGGTGGGAGGGGTGTGGGGGATACAGAGGACATCAAAGGAGAACGTCATGAACTGCTCTGCCACGCGGTCAAAGATGTGTGCCAGGGGCAGGTAGGATATGTAGATATCCGCTTCGGTGAGCTGTGAGGGTGGGAGGGGTGTGGGGGATACAGAGGACATCAAAGGGAGAACGTCATGAGCTGCTCTGCCACGCGGTCAAAGATATGTGCCAGGGGCAGGTAGGATATGTAGATATCCGCTGGGGTGAGCTGTGATGGGGGTGGGCAAGGAGGGAAACACAGCGCATATCAAGGGGAGGAGCTCATCTCGTCTCCTCCGCGGTCGAATATGTGCGGAAAGAGGGAGAGAGGCGCAACAGATGTCGATGTCTGCTGGGGTGAGCTGTGAAAGGGGGAGGGGGAGAGAGTGGGGAGTGGAGGGCAACAACAGGAACTGGTGGTTGAAGATGCGAGCAGCTGTTGTGTTGTGGCGCAGCAGCAACAGTGCAGTAACCACTCCCTACTTGCCCACTCACCACGCAGTTGGTAACCTCGCAGAAGCACTTGGGTGCCGGCAACAGCAGTGGCGAGAGTCCCACCGCTGGCGCAGCATCCAGGCCTATGCATCCCCTTCTTCCCCCACCCCCCTGCTTCCCCTCCGCGCACCACACAGGTGTTGACCTCGCAAGAGCGCTTGGTGCCCGCCACGGCAGTGCGAGAGGGGCTTGGACAGCCGGCATGAGAGTGGACATGGACGCATAATCGTGATCCCCCCCCCCCCCCCCCCCCCCCCCTAGCTGCCCACTCACCACACAGTTGTTGACCTCGCAGAAGCGCTTGGTGCTCGCTACAGGCAGTGGCAGGAGCACCCTACACTACACTGATGGGACATCCAAAAGACAGTTGCCCAAAAAACAATATGCCCGCAACCGTCAGTGGCAGGGAGCACCCTACACTACCTGATGGGACATCAATCCAAGGCCCTGCCTCCCCTTCTCCTCCTCTCCCACCACCCCCGCCTTCCCCCTTTACTCCCACTCACCACACAGTTGTTAACCTTGCAGAAGCACCTGTTAAGGCGCCTCAAAAGGCGCTTTTTAAGGCGCCTTAAAAGCTTGCCACCCACCCAACCCCATCCCCACTCACCACACAGTTGTTGACCTCGCAGAACCGCTTGGTGCCCGCTACAGCAGTGGCAAGGGCATGATTCGTTATAAGCACTCCCTTGGGCTCGCCCGTGGTGCCTATCGATTGAGGGGTGGAAGGACAACAGGGGGGGGCGGTTGGCACGGTTGGGGAGAGATGATGGGAGTAATGAGCCACGTCAAAGCATGAGGGAGAAACCTTTGCGTCGACTCAAAAGTCACCTCATGGACAGAGATGATGGGAGCGATGAGGCGCGTCAAAGCGTGAGGGAGAAGAAAAATGAGTGGGTAAGAACGCCCTTGGGCTCGCCCGTGGTGCCTATCGATTGAGGGGTGGAAGGACAACAGGGGGGGGCGGCTGAAATAAGTGGACAGAGATGATGGGAGCGATGAGACGCGCCAGAGCGTGAGGGGGAACAAGAGTGAGTGAGCTGTAGGAGATGTAGGCGTCAGAACAAGAGTGAGTGAGCTGTAGGAGATGTAGGCGTCAGAACAAGAGTGAGTGAGCTGTAGGAGATGTAGGCGTCAGAACAAGAGTGAGTGAGCTGTAGGAGATGTAGGCGTCAGAACAAGAGTGAGTGAGCTGTAGGAGATGTAGGCGTCAGAACAAGAGTGAGTGAGCTGTAGGAGATGTAGGCGTCAGAACAAGAGTGAGTGAGCTGTAGGAGATGTAGGCGTCAGAACAAGAGTGAGTGAGCTGTAGGAGATGTAGGCGTCAGAACAAGAGTGAGTGAGCTGTAGGAGATGTAGGCGTCAGAACAAGAGTGAGTGAGCTGTAAGCACGCCCTTGGGCTCTCCCTTAGTACCTACCAGAGCAACCACCAGTCTGATCTGAACCCACCTAAGGAAGCATCTGAACCCACCTGAGGTGTACATGACAAACCACCTGAACCCACCTGAGGTGTACATGATGGTGCAGATGTCCTCTGGCTTGGACGGGCATGGCTCCACTGGCTTCTCCTCGCCCTGATGAGTAGGGGCAGGGGACAGTGCACACAGATTCAGAGGACAGAGGGAAGGGGATGAGTGTGGACCAGCAGAAACGGCAGGGAAGGAAAAGGGGAAGAGAGGAGGGAAAGGAGGAGAGGAGGAGAGGAAAGTAGAAAGGGAGACGGTAGGTGGGGAGGACGAAGGGAGGAGAAGATCAGAATTCATATGCATGCCAACTCTAAAAATGATCACGTGCATACTGCCATTGACTGCCATTGACTGCCATTGACCTGCGTTGACTCACCTCCTTGAGAAAGTCGTCCCAGCTGACTCAGATGCCTATGATTTGCCAGCGCCTTAGCTGACATTTGAGGCGCCTCAGCAATTGACTGCCATTGACCTGCGTTGACCAGCATTGACCCTCGTTGACTCACCTCCTTTAAAAAGTCGTCCCAGGTGACTCCTCGGATGCCCATGTCTGTGAGCGCCTTGGCTGAATCCGCATCCAGCGCCCCCATGCTCACCACGGCTGGTGGGGGGAAGGGGAAGAATTATATGAATGGAGGGAGAGGAAGAAGAGAGAAGCGGAGGGTGCGAGAGAAGAAAAGGGGGAGGGGAAGGAGAAGGGGGGGAAGGTGAGGGGGGAGGGAGAATGGAGAAATTTCGGCAGGCGGGTTGACAAAAACGAATGTGGCAACATTCCCGTGGCAAAGTTCTCCAGGATGGAAGGTGAGTTCTGAGTCGACTTTTGAGTCGACTCGAAAGGAGAAAAATCGGAAGGCCGGTTGACAAAAACGAATGTGGCAACATTCCCGTGGCATCATTCTCCTGGATGGAAGGTGGGATGGGAGGAGAGAGGTTGGGAAGGAGATTATAGATGCTAGGAAAATGCCAAGTGTGCGATAGGCGGGTGTGTGAGAAGCTGGTAGATCAGAGCTTCATCTATGAAGGATGCAATTCTCTCAAAAAAAAAAAAAAAAACAAACAACAACAACAACAACAACAACAACAACAACAACAACAACAACTCGGAAAAAACTCGCAAACAAAAACTATGCTCAAGGGACTGCCCAAGCCCCCAAGTCCTCGGCCCAGGCGACTTACTCTTGACATTCTCAGTGCAGTTAGGCAGGCTCTTGAGCAGCTGCACATGCATGAGGGGCGAGAGGCGAGGGGAGTGCATGCGAGGGAGAGGAAAGAGAAAGGGGTGTGGGGGATGAGAGCAAGGCGTGTGCAGTTAGACAGACTCTTGAGCAGCTGCAGAGTTCGAGAACGAGGTGAGAGGCAGCATTTGAGTCGACTCAAAAGCGAGGGAGAGGAAAGAGAAAGGGGTGTGGGGGATGAGAGCAAGGCGTGTGCAGTTAGACAGACTCTTGAGCAGCTGCAGAGTTCGAGAACGAGGTGAGAGGCAGCTTTTGAGTCGACTCAAAAGCGAGTCTGCTTTGAGTCGACTCAAAAGCGAGTCTGCTTTTGAGTCGACTCAAAAGCGAGTCTGCTTTTGAGTCGACTCAAAAGCGAGTCTGCTTTTGAGTCGACTCAAAAGCGAGGGAGAGGAAAGAGAAAGGGGTGTGGGGGATGAGAGCAAGGCGTGTGCAGTTAGACAGACTCTTGAGCAGCTGCAGAGATTCGAGAACGAGGTGAGAGGCGAGAACGACGTGAGAGGCGACAACGAGGTAAGAGGCAAGGGGCGATGGGAGAGGGGCGAAGGGCGAGGGTCGAAGGGAGTGCATGCAAGAACCCTAAACCCTAAGGACAGAAGGGGTCAATGTGCAGGCAGCATGCTGTGAGATCAGAAATTCAAAGCCGAAAGTCAAGGCTTTCGTGGATCCAGAAAGTCAATGACTCACAGCAGGCAGGTATCTTGGCTGCTTGCACGACCTGGCTTTTGAGAATTCTCAAGAACCAGCCTGTAAGGATCCAGAAAGTCTATGACTCACAGCAGGCAGGTATCTTGGTTGCTTGCACGACCTGGCTTTTGAGAATTCTCAAGAACCAGCCTGTGAGATCCAGAAAGTCTATGACTCACAGCAGGCAGGTATCTTGGTTGCTTGCACGACCTGGCTTTTGAGAATTCTCAAGAACCAGCCTGTGAGATCCAGAAAGTCAATGACTCACAGCAGGCAGGTATCTTGGTTGCTTGCACGACCTGGCTTTTGAGAATTCTCAAGAACCAGCCTGTGAGATCCAGAAAGTCAATGACTCACAGCAGGCAGGTATCTTGGCTGCTTGCACGACCTGGCTTTTGAGAATTCTCAAGAACCAGCCTGTGAGATCCAGAAAGTCAATGACTCACAGCAGGCAGGTATCTTGGCTGCTTGCACGACCTGGCTTTTGAGAATTCTCAAGAACCAGCCTGTGAGATCCAGAAAGTCTATGACTCACAGCAGGCAGGTATCTTGGCTGCTTGCACGACCTGGCTTTTGAGAATTCTCAAGAACCAGCCTGTGAGATCCAGAAAGTCAATGACTCACAGCAGGCAGGTATCTTGGCTGCTTGCACGACCTGGCTTTTGAGAATTCTCAAGAACCAGCCTGTGAGATCCAGAAAGTCTATGACTCACAGCAGGCAGGTATCTTGGTTGCTTGCACGACCTGGCTTTTGAGAATTCTCAAGAACCAGCCTGTGAGATCCAGAAAGTCAATGACTCACAGCAGGCAGGTATCTTGGTTGCTTGCACGACCTGGCTTTTGAGAATTCTCAAGAACCAGCCTGTGAGATCCAGAAAGTCAATGACTCACAGCAGGCAGGTATCTTGGCTGCTTGCACGACCTGGCTTTTGAGAATTCTCAAGAACCAGCCTGTGAGATCTAGAAAGTCTATGACTCACAGCAGGTATCTTGGCTGCTTGCACGACCACGAGCGCCACTTCCGCATGGTTGAGAATGAATGACACTGCCTCCGCACCTGCATGGAGGGAAGAGAGGGGAGAGGAGAGTGGGAGAGCAGAGACAGAGAGCTGTGTGATGCACAGCAGGGGGGGGGGGGGAAGGAGGAGGAGGGCTGCTTGCACGACCACGAGTGCCACTTCCGCATGGTTGAGAATGAATGACACTGCCTCCGCACCTGCGATGGGGGAATGAGAAAGAGAGCAGAGACAGAGATTGGTGTGTGTGATGCACAGCAGGGAGAAGAGGGACGAGGAAGGCTGCTCGCTAACCTTAGCAACGCACGCAGCGATCAACGTTCCTAGGATGCTTCCTTTGCACTTAAGTAACTCACTCGTGTACCTATTGAGTCGACTCAAAAGTCAACTCCCTGAGCAACGCACGCAGCGATCAACGTTCCCATGATGCTCTCTCTCTTTGCACATAAGTAACTCCCACTCGTTTACCATCATATGCAATGCAGTGTACTATCATACGATCCGCGTGTGATGAGTCAATTTTTTACTCGACTCAAAAATCGTTCCCAGAATGCTCTCTTTGCACATAAATAAATCACTCGTGTACCGTCCGTATGCAATGCAGTGTACTATGAAATATGCATCGTCGCTCCCATACTCGCTAGTGACTCACCATTTGTATCATACACACGATTGCTCCCATACTCGTTAGTGACTCACCCAGTGTATCGTAGAGTGGCACGCACTGCATGGACTGACAGTTGCATGCCTGGAAAAACAAAAAGGGGATTCAGCAAGAAGAGAAAAAAACAAGAGACTTTGAGTCGGCTCGGCTCAGCATGGGACGATAAGATTTGAATTGATGTATATTTTAAGACTTCATTAAACTTTTGTTTTTTTTTATGTAAACGATCCAGAAAGGCATGAACTGTACTGTGCGCGTCAAAGGAAAGCTAGCAGAGGAAGGCAAGCAGTGTGTTTCCTTGGCGTTCCCACACAAGGTGACTTCTGAGTCGACTCAAAAAGGCAGCAGTGTTTGTTTCCTTGAGCAAGCAGTGTGTTTCCTTGGCGTTTCCCACACAAGTGACGTCTGAGTCGACTCAAAGCAAGCAGTGTGTTTCCTTGGCGTTCCACACAAGGTGACTTCTGAGTCGACTCAAATAGGCAAGCAGTGTGTTTCCTTGGCGTTCCCACACAAGGTGACTTGCTGAGTCGCGACTCAAAAGGCAAGCAGTGGTGTTTCCTTGGCGTTCCCGACACATGCATGCAATGCAGAGCTCACTCCCCATCAGAGCCCGTACCTCCATGGCCATGAACCACTGGGGGCGAGTTGATGCCGTGGATGGGACAGAGTGGCAGAGAGCAAGGCACAGTGCTACAGCGAGTAGAGTGCACCTTCAAAATGCGCACTGACACTCCCCCACGTGACACCTCTCATCAGACACCGTACCTCTCTCAGACACCGTACCTCCATGGCCATGAACCACTCGGGCGAGTTGATGCCGTAGATTCCCACCTTGGCGTTCTGATGGAAAAGGGATGTGGTGGGATACAGACAGGAAGGAGATGAGAGAGGTACAAGGGAGTTGGGAGCGGTGGGAGAGAGCTGGATAACATGAACCACTCGGGCGAGTTGACGCCGTAGATTCCCACCTTGGCGTTCTGATGGGGAGGGGTGGTGGTGGTGAGAGGCGTTGAGCGAGGTAGAAAGGGGTTGGACGAGGTAGAAAGGGGTTGGACGAGGTAGAAAGGGGTTGGACGAGGTAGAAAGGGGTTGGACGAGGTAGAAAGGGGTTGGACGAGGTAGAAAGGGGTTGGACGAGGGAGGAAGGGGTTGGACGAGGGAGGAAGGGGTTGGACGAGGGAGGAAGGGGTTGGACGAGGGAGGAAGGGGTTGAGAGAGAAATGAACCACTTGGCTGGCGGCGAGCTGTTGTCGTAGATGCCCACCTTGGCGTTCTGATGGGGGGAGAGAGAGGTGATGAAGGGATACTGGTAGGAAGGAGTTGGAAGAGGTGAAGAGAGGTTTGTTGGACGCGGCGTCAAACAGGTGAGCGTATGGCGTAGATTTCCACCTGGCGTTCTGATGGGGTGGAAAGGTGAATGGAAGATGGGCAAAGGAGGGAGGTAGGGGAAAGAAGAAGGAAAGAGAGAGAAAGGCGGGGGAGGGGTCGGAGGGAGGGGATTTGGGGAGGGAATGGGATGAGAGGGCGAGGGTGGATGAAAAAAAAAATAAAAAATAAAAAATCCCCCACTCAACTCAACTCTTTTTCGTACCCTGATTGTCATGAATCGAAAGATTCTTATTCCGGAAAAAGACAAGCCCCCCTATCAACTCCCCTCTTTCCTCCACCCTCAATTAATCAATACTCAACCCTCCCTCCACTCCTCCGCCCACCCTTCTTCCCTCCCTTCCTCCCTCCCGCCCCTCTGCCCTCCCCTCCTGCTTCCCTTCCTTTGCTCGTCCCCCCACGCACCGCTTCCAACCCAGCAGCACGGTACGCTGATCCCCTCCCCCTTCCCTTCCCTTCCCACCCTCCCGAACCCCACCTTCCGTTCCCTTCTTTCCCCTTTCCCGCCCCCCATTCCCTCCCCCTACTCACCGCTTCCAACCCAGCAGCACGGTACGCTGATCCCCTCCCCCTTCCCCTCCGGCCTCCCCTTTTCCCATCCCGCCCCTCACCCTCACCCACCTTTCCCTCCCCCAACTCACTGCTTCCAACCCAGCAGCACGATAAGCTGATCCCAGCTGCAGCACCTTGTCATGCACCTGGGAATACGTGTCCCACACAAAGGGACCCCACTTCCCTGTCTCTTCCTCCCCCCCCGCCCCCCCTCTCCCCCTTACCCTCCCCCTACTCACCGCATCAAGCCCAGCAGCACGATAAGCTGATCCCAGCTGCAGCACCTTGTCATGCACCTGGGAGTACGTGTCCCACACGAAGGGACCCCACCTCCCTTTCTCTCCCCCCACTTTCCCTCCTTCCGCTCCCTTCTTTCCTCCCCCTACTCACCGCTTCCAACCCAGCAGCACGGTAAGCTGATCCCAGATGCAGCACCTTGTCATGCACCTGGGAGTACGTGTCCCACACAAACGGGCCCGGCTGGGGGGAGGAGAAAAGAGGGAGGAGAGATGGGGGAAAGCGTGGAGGAGTGGAGGAGAGAAGGAGGGATGAGGGCAGCACGGTACGCTGATCCCAGTTGCAGCACCTTGTCATGCACCTGGGAATAGGTGTTACACACAAAGGGCAAAGAGGCAGGGAAAAGAGGACAGGAAAGACGGATGAGTTGCTAGCAAGGAAACGAGAAGAGAAAACAACTGGTGAGGGTGAGGGAGGGGGGAGAGGAGGGAGTGGGCAGGCAGGGCATGACATAGCAGTCCTTTGCACTACCTACCGTTGTGACGTTGTCACAAGGCAAGCAGTCCAGTACAGTACAAGGTTCAGGACCTGAGTTTCAAGTCGTGTTTTGAGTCGACTCAAAACACAACGCATGACATAGCGGTCCTTAGCACTACGGTTGTGACGTTGTCACAAGGCAAGCAGTCCATTACAGTACAAGGTTCAGGACCTGAGTTTCGGGTGATACCTTGCCATCTACGATCGAGTGATTCCTCAGGAAGATTGCATCCGAACACTACCATTCGTTACAAGACAATCCGTTACGAGGTTCAGGACCTGAGTTTCGGTTAATACCTTGCCATCTACGATCGAGCGCTTCCCCAGAAACTTGTTGTCGCCGAATCGATACACAGAGGCCCTGAAATTCAGCCACGTGGCGATAGATCATTGGATGCACGTACAGAACATAACAGCCTCGAATTATTCACGATCCCGTGCAGGAAAAGCACAATTTCAAGCCAATCAAAGACCACATGAAGAGGCGGTACAATCCCACGCCTGGACATTTTTATACACGGTGAGGAGTGAAGCAGAAAGTGACACATAATAGATGAACCGATATCGAGTTTAAGACGTCTACAATGATAAAACAAGGAAGTGTCGACACAAGAGGGACGTGGGATTGCACGACGAGGAATAAAGGAAGCGCGGATAAGCGAGCGAGCGAGCGAGCGAGTCATGCGGTAGGGAGAAGAGAAGGACGCACGTGAAGAGGCTCCACATGGTGTCGATGACTGGGGTCAGGTCGAGGTACCCAATGGTGTCAACCCCGGGCCCCAGGTCGGCGTACGCATCCTTGGCGTAGATGCTGCGGTACGTGGGACCTGCGGGCACGAGGAACGGATGAGCGAAATAAGGAGATTACCATTGCGCCCACAGGATGGTTCTGAGTCGACTCTACAATTTGAAGTACCCATCCTTGGCGTAGATGCTGCGATACGTGGGACCTGCGGGTGTGCGTGAGGCGAGAGAAACGGATCAATGAGATACGGAAATAACCCTTTGAGCCGACTCAACGGGTTGGCGTACCCATCCTTGGCGTAGATGCTGCGATACGTGGGACCTGCGGGTGGGGAAAGGGGCGAGATGAATGCCATAAGGAGATGACTATTGAGTCGACTCAACAGGTTGGTGTACGCATCCTTGGCGTAGATGCTGCGATACGTTGGACCTGCGGACAAGAGAAACAGATGAGCGAACTAAGGAAAATGTTTTTTGAGCGGCCTTTGGGTCGACTCAACAGGATCCTTGGCGTAGATGCTGCGATACGTGGGACCTGCGGGTGGGGAAGGGGGCGAATGAATGGAGGAGGTGACTGTTTAGTCGAGTCAAATGGTTGGCGTACGCATCCTTGGCGTAGATGCTGACACGTGGCAACTGCGCACGTGGAAGTCGGCGAGAATGACATCTGAGTCGACGCTAATACGCTAAATTACATGCTACTATACGCGGAACCTGTGGATGTGGACGGAAGCGAAAATAACATCTGAATTTATTCTCATACAATCTTAAATTCTGCTATACGTCGGACCTGCGCACATGGATAGAGGCAAACTTTGCATCTGATTCGACTCTGATACATTCTTGAATTCTTCTATTATCGTGGATTTGTGGATGAGGATGGACCGTCCCGAAATTCATAGTACTGACTCCCACTGTCCAAAAGACCCCCCCCCCCAAAAACAAATTTCGCGTGACGCGACGGAAAGCGACGGATGGGTACGGAAGAACGCGCAAACACTTCCAAGGGGATGACACGTGGCGTCGCGAGTACCGAACACGACTGTGTATTCGAAAACAGCAAGCTAGCATTACACGTATCTTGGAAAAAAATATTAAAGAAAAAGGGAAACGAACAAGAAACAGCCATAGCCTGATTCGAGAACGACATGAAACCCGCTCGCCTTGTGAAGGGCTTCGATCGCTGGAGGGAACGGCGTCCGCAACCTTGTGCAACCACTAACCATGGACTGCGTTCAGGATTTAGACGTCTAGAAACTGCAGTATGACGCGACGGACAAGACCGACTTGCCTTTTAAGGGGCTTGCATCTGTGGCGGCAACGCGTCCGAAACCTTGTGTAACCATTTGTTTAAGACAGATGTTCAATATTTACACGTCTGAAACAGAAAAAAATGTCGCGGCGGACGATTTCGACCGCAGAAAGACGCGACGGACGAGACCGACTTGCCTTTCGAGGGGCTTCCATCAGTGGCGGGAACGGCGTCCGCAACCTTGTGCAGCCACTTCCCAGGACCGACATCCAGATTCTCGGCCATTCTTGTCCAGCTAACGCGACCGCGTTAGTTAGAGATCAGACTTCTATGCGAATGTAGCTGAAATAACGAGACCACTAAAGGCTCGTACTGAAGCGAATGCAGCTAGAAGAATGGAGAAACCCAATGCTTGCAAATCCAAGAAACGTGAATTATGCAAAGCGCTGCTCCATCTGCTCTTCAGGTCAGGATGCTGTAATTCAGAATTGGCACGAGAGAAATGTCGGAAAAGGCATCCGCACGGATCGGTGCAAAGGCTTTCAGAACGCTTCTACCTGATGTGCTGCGGTGCACACAGACCACACCTTACGCCTTGCTAATACAATACTGGAATAGAGCTTGAAGACAGGGGTTACTGGACCGGTTTATTCGGTTCAAAATGATCCAGACAGGTCAGATTCGGTGATACGAGACATGTCTGACATTCTGCCTGAAATTGCTGACAACCACCTGAGCTGGCTCCAGGTTCTAGGGAGGCTGTTGAACATTCGACGGATCCTTGGGGATGCCGACCAGCTTGCATGGACAACACGAAACGCCACATCAGCGTCTCCACACCAACACGAAGCCATACAAACGGAGGGAGAAAGGAGGGAGTGGCTACATATTTGGTGTATAAGTGACGAATATTATAGCAGTTAGCCTCATGGTTTTCGAGAATGTGTATAGCGGAGGGTCCAGACTCAACGCGTTGTGCGTTTTTACCGCTCCGCCCATGTGTAGATGCGCACTGAGAGGGTATTCCGCTCTGCGCTTGGTTCGGGCTGAATCCGAGCCCAAACAATATCTCAGGTCACGTGACATAATTTCGCGAGACTCGTCAAAGAGGTTCAGCACTTCGCGACACCCTTCACATGAGGAGGCTGACGAAGTGCCACGTCGCCAACGAATCACCAACAAAGCTGTAGTTCATGCGGAGCTGGCGACAACCAGCACGTGAAACAGTCGCCAAGCGCAAGCCCCTTTCCGCAGCTAGTTTTGAAGGAAGGGGGAGGCGCGGGATTTACAGACACCACTTCCTGCGACCCGCGCGACGCCAAGCGGCGCCGCCAAAGCAGGTACCGCCACCCCCATAGCTATAGCCTCAACCCCAATCAAATGCGCAATTACTGCCCCTCTCGGCTCCGCGCACGCGAGAGAACCCCAAAATTCCTGCCCGAATTGCCCCTTTCAACCAATCCCATCCCAGCCAAACCACTTTCCCGCCCCCATCAATTTCCCCATCTCCCCACTCGCGTATTTGTACGATCCAGATTCTAGATGCTTCTGCGCCATTCTCAAGTTTTCATTTCCAGTCCCACGCAATTCTCTTAGTTCTGCACCAAACTTCTATTTCCTCAACAAACCTAGCTTGGCCCTGCTCCTCCCTTCTTGAATTCGCAGCTTCGTGCATTCCGCTAAGCTACTCTCTGCAAGAATTCAGACGGAGCTCTCGTTACACAAGCATCCTAACGCGTTCACCCTTGTTTTCGAATTATTTTGGCCTAATTGCCGTAGCACCACAGCCCATTTCGCCAGCGCAGCAACTATTAGCCATAATCTCAGGGACGTGTACCTTCTCGTTGCCTTCTCGCCGTCTAACGTAGCGCCTTATCGTGCCCGCTCCGTCAATCAGCATAGCGCCCTATTTGGCCCGCGCCACCATGTCGGCCGGTGGCGGCGGCGACGGCGGAGGAGTGGAGGTTCTTTCAAGCCCCCATTTCACCAATCACTTGCGCCTTCCCCGCGTGCGCTGCCCGCGCGGAGGCCTCTCCCGCGGAACCGTCGGCAGCAGCCCGCGGATGGGGCGGAGCCGTTCCTCCCCGCGCCTAACCTCTCCGCGCACACCGCGGCGACGCACTGGGCGCCTCTCCGCGGGCGCCGCGATGGCGTTTTTCAACACGTGTCGCTCTCCCACTAGCCCGACATTTGCGACGTTCTTTCAGCTACAACAGCAGCTACAGCAGGAAATACAGCAGGAATTCCCGCAGCAACAACAGCAAAATCAACCGCAGCAGCAGCAACAGCAACAACAACCACAACCTCAGCAGCAAAATCCACCTTTACACGCTATCTGGCGGCCCCTGTCTCCACCCATCGTTGATAAATCGCTAGCTCCCGGCGGCAGCTGCGGCGGCGGCGGCGGCGGCGCGGGAAGCAGCGGCGCATCGAGAAGCGGCGCGGAGGCGGAGTATAGCGCGATGGTGAATGAGGAGCTGCTGCTGTTCTTCTACCGAATGGACTTAAACGCGCGCCTGGAGGTAGGGCGCCATATGGGGGCTATTATGGCAGAGGTTGGGCGCAGGTATGGAGGCAGGCACGGCACAGGTGGGGCGCAGGTTGGGCGCAAGTAGGGGCGCAGGTAGGACGCAGGTGAGGGCAGGTAGGGATAAGCCGGCGGAGATCGACCAAGAGACTGTCCCCTTTCCTCCCTGACCTCTTTTCCCCTCCCTTTTTCCCAACCCACTCCCCGCCCAATTTCCCCTTCCCAACGCACTCCACCCCCACCCCCCCCCCCTTCCCCCTCCCTCTTTCCGTCCCCATTCGCCTTCCGCCAAACCCGCCTTCCCGCCCTTCTGCGCAGAGAGCGCTGCAAGCGGAACAGTACGAGGCAGCGCAGGAGCTACGGAATAAGCAAAGCCCCCTTTCCTTTCCCCCCCATCTTCCCCTTCCTTCCCTCTGTCTGCGCAGAGAGCGCTGCAGGCGGACCAGTACGAGGCAGCGCAGGAGCTAAGGGAGAAGATCGCGGAGATCGACAGAGAGACAGTTTCTCCCTTTCCTCCCCTTCCCCCTCCCCCTGCCCTTCCCCCCTCCGCCTTCCCCCAATCCCTCTATCCGCGCAGAGAGCGCTGCAGGCGGACCAATACGAAGCAGCGCAGGAGCTAAGGGAGAAGATCGCGGAGATCGACAGAGAGACAGTTTCTCCCTTTCCTCCCCTTCCCCCTCCCCCTGCCCTTCCCCCCTCCGCCTTCCCCCAATCCCTCTATCCGCGCAGAGAGCGCTGCAGGCGGACCAATACGAAGCAGCGCAGGAGCTACGAGAGAAGATCGCGGAGATCGACAGAGAGACGGCGCGGCAACGAGACGCCAAAGCCGCCATCTCCTTCGCCTCCGCTGCGCCTCCTTCCCCTATCCCCTGCGCTAACCACGCCGCCGCCCCAACCGCCGCCCCTTCCGCCGCCCCTTCCGCCGTCCCCTCCGCTGCCCTTTCCGCCGCCCCGTCCGCCGCCCCTTCCGCCTTGGGAAGCACCAGCAACAGTGGCGGCGGCGGCAGCAGCAGCAGTTTCAGCTGCATGCCACCATTGGTGGAGGGTGGGCCTCTCTCCATGCAAACCCTTTCCGCTGACCCTTCCGCCTTGGGAAGCAGCAGCAGCACCAGCAACAGTGGCGGCGGCGGCAGCAGCAGCAGTTTCAGCTGCATGCCACCATTGGTGGAGGGTGGGCCTCTCTCCATGCAAACCCTTTCCGCTGACCCTTCCGCCTTGGGAAGCAGCAGCAGCACCAGCAACAGTGGCGGCGGCGGCAGCAGCAGCAGTTTCAGCTGCATGCCACCATTGGTGGAGGGTGGGCC